ATTGAAAAAGACGGATTGGCGATAAAATTGACTATACCAACTGGAAGCTATGAAATTACTGGTATTGAAAATTTTTCGAAAGATCAATTATCAGTGTATGAAATTCCCTTCATTTTACGGGCAAATGATCAGACGCTCAAGATGGTGATTGAAGTACCCAAGGATGTGGTGATGAATTTCAGGCCGTTGGGTTCCATTGAGCAACTCCTTGGTTTTCAAGGACAAGTTCCAGCATATTAAACATTTTACGAGTCGGCCACGACTCCACAAATCATTCATGTGAACTCTTTACGTATTAAATGTAATCTAACTGCAGAAGCCTACATTAACAAGCGACGTGTGCATACAATTAACGAATTCTTCCCAAGCATTCCACCTGGATATAAGATCATTGAAACACCTGCTCAGATCATTTACTTGCCAATCGTAGTGCGGTCAATCGACCATCTGCAATTGAGAATGGTCGATCAAGACGCTGGCCTTGTGAATTTCCGTGGCGAAGTCATCGCAATACGACACATAAGAGCTCATTGAATAATGGGTATTGTGTTTGAGCGGAGAAAAGTCGGTCGCAGTTATAAAAGTGAGGACTCATGCCGGCAAGCGAACAGTCGTCGAGTGCATGTGACGAAGGTGACATCGCAGAAGATCAAGTTCCTGCGTACTCTGGGAATAAGAATTCGCGGACAAGGAGGAAAGTGAGGGTTTGCTGTGTCTTCATCGCCTGCTGTTACTCTCATCTGCAATGGAAGAGATCCTGAACATTCAGAAGCGGATAATCTTTGATGAGTCGATTGCTCATTATGAGATTCATTCGCACCAACCATTTGCATCATCTTCCTTCAACAACAATAACGAAATCCGTATTTCTGTACAACACCAGGATCTCTATGTACTGTCATGCAAGTGTTCATTGCACATTCGTGGTAGATTAACTAAAGCCGATAATACACTTGTTTTAAATTCACAACTTGTGAATAATGCCATCTTTCATTTATTCGACCAAATATGCTATGAATTAAATTCAGTGGAAATTGATACGTGTAAAAATGTTGGCTTGACAACATTAATGAAAAATTACATCTCTCAGAGTCCTAGCCAGAAATATCTCATGGAAAATGCCGGCTGGAGAATTGACAACGAGAAGAAAATAACTAATGAGGCAGGATATTTTGATCTATCCATTCCTCTGAGCATGATTTTAGGATTCGCTGAAGATTATCAGAGAATTGTTGTGAATGCAAAGCATGAGTTAATCCTAACACGTTCACACAGTGACTTTAATGCTATATTCCAAGCCAATGATGGACCACAAGCTGAGCACTTCAAAATCACAATCACCAAGATCGATTGGATGCTAACCTACATTAAACCTGCTGACACTCGAAAAGTACAGCTTCTCAATCAGATTTCAAAAGACACGGTGGTGCCGATTAGCTTTCGCTCTTGGGAATTGTACGAGTCTCCTCTGCTGCCGAGCACAACGAAGCATGTCTGGACTGTGAAATGCTCAACGCAATTGGAGAAACCGCGTTACGTCATTCTCGGCTTTCAAGTAGCTAGAAAGAATGAGGCTTTGAAGGATGCCAGTGCATTCGATCATTGTAATATTCGCGAAATCAAATTATTCTTGAATTCGCAAAGTTATCCATATGAAAATCTGAATTTGGACATTGAACACAACCAATCAGCTCATCTCTACGATATGTACACCAGCTTCCAAGCCTCCTATTACCATAAAGAGCCTGAACCACTATTCAGCAGAGCGGACTACTTGAAAACAGCACCCCTCATCGTCATCAGTTGCTCCAAGCAGAACGAGTTCTTGAAAACCGGCCCTGTGGACATTCGTCTGGAGTTTGAATCATTGCAGATCTTCGACGCCAACAACGCAGCCTACTGCTTGATCTTACACGATTGAATTATCGAATATAGCTTACTCACCGGCAGCGTCAAGAAACTCACTTAAAAAATAAATGTAACCATTCAACTGAATAAATAACCAATAATAATTGGAAAAGAAAATCTTTTTATTTCTCATCAACGACATCATGACCAAGAGCCGAGTCTGCTTCGGTTTTCAATGATTCAAACATTATGTTTACACCGAGTTTGAGTTCATGTAGAATGCCTAGCATGGGGGCCGCTGGACTTTTCTCGTACAGATTTGGCCCCGTTTTTCTCTTGGATCCACGGCTCCATGAACTAACCCAACCATCTCGCACGAAATCGTCATCCACTCTCACTATCAATTCTTCAATTCAATTAAGAATAACAGCCAGCTTTTTCGTAATGTGGATGGATAATGATAGGAGTGAGTCATCTGCAACATCTTCCTCATTCTTCTTTCTCACAGCAGCATAATCAAAAACTGCACATCACTGATGACACTCCAGATTTTTTCTGGTGGAACATCACCAAAATGCTTCTCCACTATATCCTCAACAGTACGGTGGAGTACTATTCAAATAGCGTATGTCTTCTGGTGAGACATTCTCCATGATTACGACTAAAGTTCTCCCGGAAAATTCGCGATTTAGATCACCTCATCCCCTCCACCAGTCCATCCCAATTTCGTTACAACTGAAATTTTATTCTCGGAAAGCATTATTGATTCCTAGAAAAGCACACTTTCGTAACGATCAAATTTTTCGGAGAAATTCTTTATACCTATATTCCATTGAATCATTATCCATGCAACTTTGATTTCCACCATCTCAGCTGATGAGGTGAATGACTCTTGTACTTGTCCACATGAACTTTTCCATCTCTATGTCATGAACGCAGCGAGGTTAATACGAAGGTTTATGTGACGCGTACGTGCTCATCGGTAAACACACAAACACACATAAAGCATTCGAAACTCACTGAGTCGTAGGAAATTTTATTGAAAAATTAAATTAATTCGTGTCTGTTTTCTTAGCATTAATTGTTATCTAATTGAATAAAGTAATTGATGTTCCATTTAAATTGGAAACATTCAGTTCAAAAGTGCACAATTAATTTTTGTTTTGTTCAATCTCATGAGCATTCAATGCGAAACCCAAAACGAACGATCATTGCAAATTATTAAACTTGTGTTATGTTGCATGGTATCATCTATTGAAGACTATGGTGGAATATTCATTCCACTTCGAAAACGATTCACTGCGCATCCAAGAGGCCGAGTGTTTTCTTTATACGGCGCGTACGTGCTCACCGGCAGACACACGCGGCCACATGAGCGGTGGACCATGTCACGCTCCAATTTCAATGAGAGAGACAGAAGTATCGAGTTTAAAATCATTCCTCAGATTTGATAAGAAAAAAAAAATTCATGTTTCTCATTATTAGTTTCTACTACTCATAATGATTTTGAAGACAAAATTTCAAATTCACGAATTAATTTGTTGTAATTATGATCATTGAGGTGGCATAAAAGAAAGAAAAATTCACCGGCAGTCGAACATCTGAAAATTTTAGCAATTACGACTGTCAGCTATGAAATATTGAATATTAGACATCAGAAATGAGACATTAGATTGTAGACATCACATACAAGACATTAGATGTGAGATATCATATGGTGGATATTCAACGTCAGATATCACATGGTAGAACCCCCCCCCCCCCCGGGGGGCATTCTGGCCCAAAATGGAGCCTTGAACATTACCACCGCGGGGCCTATAAAGAAGATTCCCCCCTACATTACCGACTGAGAACCTAGCAGATTTCTGCATTGCCCTCCCCCGCAACCTCACCCGCCCCCCGTCCCGCACCGTCCCTCCGATCCCTATGTCCAGAACCGGCCTTGTTTATCTACTTATGAGGACCTCCAGTACTGTCCCCGCTATGATCATACTGGGACCCTTATAATTGGCATGGTTATAAAATTTATAGGGTTCCTCACTCGAGTTTATGACTCTGCTTCGAGCTACCTGGAGGTTGCCCATCCCTGAATTAGACGACAGTGACTGTGATAGATTAAATTGTATGTTCAGTAACGCTTGGTCCATTACAGGGGATTTTATTCATGTTTTTCATCGTTTCGAGACTCTCTGGTTTACTAAAAATTGTTCTCTCCCACAATTATATACTTCATTTATTTTTCTGGGAATCCCCATTCTATCCCCTTTTAGCTTTTCACTTGAATTTCTACTTATTGAGCTGTTGGACCTGCTGACGCTGAAATTGCAGAAGCATTTGATAGTGATGGTCATTCTGATAAATGACGTGACGTTAGCAATTTGATTTTTGCATCTGGCTTTTGGAGTAGTTGGTGCAAGAGGACCGAGTTACGGAAGGAGAGTTCTATGAATCTCGGAAAATTACGTCGCAGTTTAAAAAACGGCAGTAGAGCTCGTTAGAATGGCATCATAGTTTTTTCCATTACGCCGAGCGGTATGATTGATTTTTCTTAAATTGGTTATTTTGAGGTTTTAACGAAAAATCGCTTCCTACGGTTTCTTCAGGTTAATTCGAAGAACCTATTGCAAAAATTTATTTATTTTTATTTATTAGTAGATCTAAAACAATTTCTAATTTTCCTCAGGTGATCGGTGCTACCCCCTTCTCCTACTAGTTTACGAAACACAGATGTGGGATTGACGTCATTCAGATAAAATTGCTTCGATACAATCGAGCTTTTACAAAACTCTGTCTGTCTTTAAGGAAAGTTAAAATCGAATTATTTATCAAATAATAATTCACATTTGAATTTGAAGTTAATCCGTTCTCTGGAATAACCATGTCTTCACGGTATTTTAAATACTCTCTTGAATTTTTTCACCATGAGCATACTTACCATTAATGGAAATAATTCAGCAGAAGATATTTAAAATACAGCAGTTAGTTGTAGAACTGGACAAAATAAATTGAATCCAATAACAATCTATTCAACGAAATAAATCATGTTTGCATTTCTCGATGTTCATAACTCGAAAAAAGGTGCTTCACATTATAAGGTCAGATACGGAGGTTATCACTGTGGGGCGAATGTTATCTCCCTCCTGTATGCTCTGAAGAATACCCGAGGATCTGAGATTGTTACGTTAGACATAGTTCAAAATTTACATCTCGATTGTTTCGCTCTTCTGGATGTCCACAATCTGAAGGGCATTCGAGGTTATAACATTCCTGAACTTGGAAGGTTATTGCAAATTGTTGCTTTTCACACGTTTCATAATTATTAATGTGACGAAAATGCTATTGCATGAAAAATAGAGTTATGAATCGAATCTTAGAAACATTCATTTCTCGAGCAGAATTTTCTTAAGTATACTAGCGATACAAAATACGATTGTGCTATATAATAATAATATAGGATTGTGGAATATATTAATATCCTCTATTAGTGAAAAATAAAAGAATAACAGTAGCTTACATACAAGTGACAAGTTTTACGTCACGTTTCCCATTAAATATTTGATAGTAATTATCAAATAAATAGTGCAAAAGTGTGAGTGTTAATTTCCGTCTGTTTTAAGCCTTTTTTTTAATTTTCGGAAATAGTTTCAAATTTTTATTTTACGGAATTTATAATTTTGTGTATAGTTACGTCAGGAAATATATCGAATATTTTCATAAAAATTAGTGATTTTAGTAATTCGAAAAAAAATCGCTTGTAATGTGACCAATTTTCCTTAAAGAAAAAACCGAACGTTATCCGCCCTTCTTCCCTGATCAATAAAATAACTGTATAGGCGCCGGTTGCTCTTTTTCTTCGGAAGCAACAAATCGGCTGAAAACAAAAGCGGAACGAAAATCCTCAGAAACGGAACCAGAAATTTATACTAAAATCAGAAACGTTCGGAGGAAAGGTGGTCGTTTCCCGCGCTGCTCAGAGGGAGGTTGTGGAGAGATAGATGGGTCGAGATGGAAACGAGTTATAGCGGGCATAGGCTAATGCACCAGAATTTAAAAAATGACTCAGGCTGTAATGCTGATATGAAATACGGTGTAGTGTCCTAAAAATACAAACTTTACAAAAGAAACGTTAGTTCCTGCAAGATGAGAATGACATCTTTTAAACACACTAAAAGATACTTAACCCTAAAGCGTCATGTACGTAGAGGCCCATAAAAAGAAAACCCAACTAAGTCTTGGACGAAGGTATGATCTGAATAGAAAAAAGTAAGAGAGAAACCAATATTTACCCAGATAACGGTTCTCAAAATCGATTCCTTAAACTGGCGAATACGCCTGATGCATTTGAGAAATTTGTTACCGAAGCGCTTTCTAATGGTTTCATATTGATCAAGCGAGGTACTACCTGACTCCTCACCACAATAACAAATATCGTGGCATACCAATTGAAAATAATAGTTGTCCGCCGTGAAAAAAAGATTTGTAAAAAGACGAGAATAATAAAGCATTATTCATGACAACAGTATATAACAATATCATATGGATTCCAGTCGGTCTCCCTTGATTATTTTCGTTAAAAAAACATTAGCAAAAGTAAGTTACTGATAAATTAAATATATCATCTGTATTTTAGATCGATCTCTCTAACAGACAAATAATTTCTCCTATTCGCTTCTAAAATAATTAGAATACTAAAAAAAAAAACTAAACTTGTCCACACATGTATACCCTTTCGGGCTTTTACATTTCCCACCCCCAGTTCCCCTTGTACCGCAATTACGCCGAGGGCCGAAGGGAAAACCTCATGGGAAAAAACCTTGGCCAGGTACAGTCGTCTCTTTCGAGACTACCGCTCGTACGATGAAAACCTGTGCAAGTTAGAGCGAATTCTATCTCTAAAAAACCCCTGGCATTTCCCCGACTGGGAATCGAACCCACGAATCTCATGTGCCAACCCCCTACGCTCTAACCGCACGGCCACCGCACGTCGGTAATTAGAATACTATTTTAGGAATAAAAATATGATAAAAATATCTTTTTTTTGACAGGCGAAGGCCTATTCAGAAGCAATCATGTCGCTAAACCTGTCTGAAGTCAAATTAAATCCGCCGAATTATAAAGTAGAGATTGAGGTGAGTATCGTCTAAACAAAATTAATAAATTTATGAAGCCACGTTTCCTATAGTTGGGAGAGAATCGAAAGATTGAAAGGACCTTTTGTACTTGCCTTGCTGGACAGTCACGAAGAGGATGCAAACACAGTGCAGCTGTTTGCATTTTTGTGAACCAAGAGTGTACTAGTTCAAAAACTGATGTTCCTCAAACTTGGAATAAACCTTCAGAAGTCCAATGTGAAAAGTATATAACAGGCTGTGTAACAGACAAGTTGTTTCCTCAAAAAATACGCGCTAGAGATGAACATTTCTCATTCGATGATGTAACAACCGTACCTCTCGAATTGTTTTCAATAGATTGTGCTTTTAGTAAATATTTAGTAAAGCTAATTATGATTCAATCAAAGTAACCAAAGATGGTTGGATTCGAATTATTACGGAATCTCAAGGCCAATCGTCTTGTTTTCAGAAATAATGTAATAATCAATATTTATTATAATACTCAAGTTCAGACTGCACTGTACGTCACTGGTTTGCAAGAATGACATTTTTTCGTGTTTAGTGAGCATGATTCAGTACATTTTATGGTTGAACGAGATGAGGTTTCTTTGGGTGAAACAATTTCTAAAATTGACTGGTTTTATTTTACTCATTTGCTTCCAATGTTGAAGTAAATTTTTTAATAATTGAATTAGTGTGGAGGACGACTATTTTGTAACATTGAAGATTGGGCTAAAGAAAATCTGAATGGACAATTCCAAAAATGTTAAAACGATCTAATTTTCATTTTTCCTTTATTAAGCAAAGCACGTTTTCCCAGATTCATTCACCACCTATTTTTCCAAGCTTGCTGCTCCTTTTTTAAAATATCATCACGCATGTTCACAAGTTCGAATCACAATAGTTGGGATAAGGTAATTTCTAATTAGTTGTTTCTTTTGTAGGAAACTCATGTATGGCGAATATAAGTCTACGTTTTTATGTTTTTTGAAATAAATATATTATTTTGATGCATCAATGGTACGTATTCTTAGGAATATGAATGTTGCAAATTTCCAATATTTATAAAATCATTCTCGTTATAATAAAGTAGATAAATTAATTTCGATAAATCATGTGTTAATTTAACTCCTTTCATGTCAATCCTCTTCAGCGATTTTTTATCAATGGAAGTTGACTATTAGCGATAATGGAACATATTTGGATTATGGAGTTGACATAGGGTAGTAAGTCTATGGAAAAATGATCCAATATATGCAACAATTTGATCCTTTTTATGGCTCGCTCAATGTGAATGCGTACAGAGGCAATATTATAGGTTGATTCAACTTCTTCTTCTGTAAATTGTGGATTATGTGCGTGAGGTGGAATTGTAAGGATGGCATTCCGCTTAGTCAATTCTGATCGAATTTGCGGAAACCCTTATCCGCAAAAACTTCATCACCTGGCTCTAATAATGCAGGAAAACCTGAATCATTGACTATGAATGCATCAGTTGCCTTGCCTCCATAAGCTTTAGAAAGTTTACAGATGAATCCATCAGGAGTTATTGCAATCAGAAATTTTTCAGTGAATTTATGTTTATAATTCGAATATGTTAATACTTTTTGCTCTACAGTTGGCGGAGTATTGCAGGAAATTTCAGTGCAATCAATTATGCATCGACAGTTGGGATAGTTATAGAAATATTTAGGTTGTCTTGCCTTGACACTTGCCACAACACTGAGCTAAAATCTCAAGTAATGAGTAAACAACACGAGATGCTGTACTAGGGTGACAATTCAATAAACATCCAAGAGCACAAAAAGTAGTACCAAGCTTAAATTTAATTAAAAACAAGAGCAATCGATTTTCTTCGGGTAACCCTGGATAAAAAATGCGATTCAAGAGAATTGAAAAAAAATGAAGTGAAACACCAGCAAGTTGACGCATCATCACATCTGTTGAAATGTCTAGATATCCACGAAACCCTCTTAGGTACAATTCGTCGGGACCACTGCGTGCATTTTTTGGTTTTTTGAAATACTGAGTGGGAATCACTATTTGTTTGCGGTGGGTTTTTTGAAGATAAATTTCAGTTTGAATAGACACCTCATATCTATCAAAAGCAAGTATTGTTTCTTGCTGAAGTTCATTGATAAGAAAATCACTTCGACTATTCAATTTGTATGGTTCACTACTGCAAAATGGGAAACTGAATTTCGAGGAAAAATATTGTTCTTCTGGCATCTTCTCTATCTCAATAGTGCAGGTTTTGACGGTGTCAACTTCATCGACCTCGATCTCCAGACCCGTGTCGATATCGATGTTTTCTAAAAATAATGGACATATATCAAAATAAGATATTTTAAAACTACTTCACTTTACGATCAAACAATGGTTCCCGCTATGACAAAAAATTTGGGAACCACTCAGCCAACTTCAAATCACTTGTTAAGGATAATTGCATCGAACGAGTAGTGCGATTTTTTAAACGTGCCATTCTCTCTTCATTAGGAAGTTTTCGGTTGTCAATTGTGGGGAAAATTGTGGGGATATATGCGACATCGTGCATATTATTGGATTTTTCCCTCCTAAAAAAGGCACAGTATATACTCGCGAGTCAGCATTTGGAATCCACGGTTTCCCATCTGCCCATCTGTAATATTAATTAATTAAAATGGTGTAACCATATGTAAGTACAGTGCATGGAACTAATTACATATGAAGTACTTGTTCATAATGTTTTCATGGTTTTCAAAAATCCGGAAAATTACTTACATGCGTTTAATAGTCATTATCTACTGCTTTTTTCGCTGAACCCCGTATGATTTCCCCGGAAATCGATAAAAACTCAATTCGGGATTCTTGCATTCACTATTACTACAGTTGACAACGCAACAAAGTCTTTTCGAACGTACGATTGTATCCATTTTTTGCAAGAAAAATCAATTAAAAAGCATTGAGAACCATCCAGACGTTCGAAGTGTTATCCCTCAATGTAGCCATTTTCTCCCACGTGACGGCGCCCCTTTCGTTGCGCAACAGGCGTAGACCGCGATATCGGCAAAAATATGTAAATTACGCGAAAGTCCCTCATCTAACGGTCTACCGGCCTATTTTTAGGAGGGAGCAACCGCAGGGCCGAAATTGGCACCAAGGCGTTCCGCGCAAGGCTAGATGGGACTACCAGTACGAAAAACACGAAAGGTAGTACTCTCTAAATGCAAAATTTCGCTCCCTATATAAGCATTGGTTGCCAAGCAACGTGTTGATGTTACCCAAGGCCTAACTCGTGAAATCTCATCTATATTATTGCTAAATGCGTGAAAATGAGGCACGAAATATAAGGGTTCCCAAATAATATATAACGCGATTTTTCACCTTTAATTAAGGCTATCTGGGGTACCGACATCGTCCACTAATTCCCGACGTGTGGGAAGTTGAGGTTATAGTACTGAACCTCAGCTTCAAATGAAACTTCTCTGTCGGAACACTGCGTTTTCCACTCCAGGCAACTGCCCCATGTTAGAAGGGGCAGGCATTCAAATGGCCTGAGCCAACGAAATATAGTGGGAGGTAAGCCGATACCTCGAGCTCTCCACATGCTAGCGTCTGGAGAAAGCTATCGACTTTCCATCGCTATCTAATTACCGATCGCCCTTGACCCTATCGACCCGATCTTCTATCGATCACCATACCCTAGCAACCTTCCTACGCTAATGGGGACCGGCCTTACCAAAGAATCCCTACCCTGTCTCCATAACCTAGCATACTGTCCGAACCAGTGCTCCCGTGCGCGTTCCAACTTTATATCACCTCCAGGTACTTAGCCGACATGGGTCACTATTTAGAAAAACGACCTTATGTACTCGATTGTACATCGTTAGTACATGATTGTACCTATAAAATTCTTGTTTGTACATCAACTGATTAATTAAAAAAAATTAATTAAATTTCGGCATGATCTTAGCCGACAACAAATTAAAAATTGATCAATAAAACCAAATTAGGGGTGTTTTCCGAAGAAAATCGTTTGTACATTACGAATTTCATGTTTTCGTCGTTTGTACATTGATTGTTAATGAGTTAAATCCATTTGAAAAATCATGGTCTAAGTTACGCGTCCCTATACAATCGACCTCTTCGCATTGTTCTGTGTTTAAATGGGTTTTTATTGCATTATTCTTTGCTTTACGAGTATAAACATTGAATCTAACAGAAATTGTACTATTGAAATGTGGATTCTTCATCAAACTTTCATTGAAAGAAATATCGCGCGCATCTACGTCATAACAAGTCAGGCGTGAGTGGCCGCGGCGAGAGGGGACATTCATTTTTAGCCACCATGTTCATTTCGGAGTGCAGTGGAGAGTCATTTTTGGAGTGGAGTATTATTGAAAAGCATTATTGGGGAATGTCCGTACATTCGAATTAATCGTATGGAAATGCGTTCACCATAATTTTGAGGAAATAAAAATTTGATTTTGCTTCAATTGAGAGTAAAATCCTTCTCCTTTATGAATCCCTTAGATGGAGCTCAATTTTTCAATTTGTTCCTAATTTATAAACATTTGAAAAAATTCATGAGCCTCCATTTTACCACACTGCCCCCTATATACATTAACGAGTAGCAGTGATAGGATCTGCGAAAAACCATTTAGACACAGAACAAAGCGCAGAAATCGATAATATAGGGACGCGCAACTTAGACCATGATTTTTCAAATGGATTTAACTCATTAACAATCAATGTACAAACGACGAAAACATTAAATTCGTAATGTACAAACGATTTCCTTCGGAAAACACCCCTAATTTGGTTTTATTGATCAATTTTTAATTTGTTGTCGGCTAAGATCATGCCGAAATTTAATTAATTTTTTAAAATTAATCAGTTGATGTACAAACAAGAATTTTATAGGTACAATCATGTACTAACGATGTACAATCGAGTACATAAGGTCTGTTCGGTTTTCCACCGAATTCCTCCACACACACACACACACACACACACTCAACTCACATGACCCACTCAGCTGACTGACTCGCTCACCTCAGATGACCAGTGGCCTTTCACCTCTGACACCTGAGGCGCCACTTGATGGACAGGTGTAATTGACCATCGCGATGATCGATACCTCCCACCATGTGGCTTATCACTCTCTCTCATTTGCATATCGTCCGTTAGAGTGTTTACGCGCATTTCGCAGAACTTCGCTTTCTCTATTAATTGATCCGCTCATTTATTAGTTCTTCTCGGAATTAAGTTAATAATTCATTGAATTATATTTCGTTCTTGCTCAGCTCTATTTTAGTGACAAATACAAGTGTATTTAGTGACTGTTTTACTAATTAAAATTGACTCTTTTGACCGACGCCACACGAGTGATTATTTGATCCCCTCACGCACTCTTCCGTAATCCAATTATATCTCGTCCATCGATTAAAAATATCCCCAAAACCAGATTCCGCATCGAACATTTTGGTCCTTCGAGCCGGATACGCGGGATATTTTTTAGTTTTCGCGCTCATTTAGTGTTTTACGGGAGTTTTAATTGGACAGCGTCAGTGTTCAGTGTTCAGTGGAGCTCAAAGTGCAGTGTCGCCGCCCGAGAAAATTTGAATTCGTCCAGCTCAAGTGGTGCTCATCCTGTTCGTCTCGCACCACATCAGAGACCTGCTCTACCGACTCAGTAACTAGGCGCACCTTCAACGACCATCTCAAGGCGGGAAATTCAAATAGACCAGCGCAGCTAAAGGGAAGTGGATATTATTCCTTTTTAGTGTTTATTGAATTTCTTCACCTGCTTCGGAACTGGGTTTCGCTGCCGTCTTTTTTAAAATTATTTTCGCTGCTTTCTCCTCTGCTATCGGCCTGCGTTTTTAGGATTCTGCTCTCGACCATCTCTGTTTCTCAGCTCGCTATTCCTGTCATTCGCTTTCTGGATTTTACTGCTTTCCTGCCTTTTTAATTTTAATTTTGCTCTTCGCCCAAAACTATTAAAATTATAATAGAAACATGGCAACCCTCGAAG